ACCCACAAAACCTTTTCTTCCTCTCGTTTCCATCTCAAATCTTTGGATGAGCATGCTTGAGCTAGCTAATCCATTTCTTGTCATTTAGCACACAAGACAAGCTACTTAAACATCTGAATGTCTCATCAGTACTATCAATTCACCATGATAATTAATCATCATCCTTGTACCTCTGAAATTGCTTTACTTCTTGGTGGTGCTCACGATAATCAGGCGCCGTTTTTGACCATTCATCATCAGAAAGCATATAAAATATGCAGGGTGTACTTCGATTTGGAAATGATTATGAATGTATTTTTGTTTAATTGTGTGTTGTTAACTTGTAATATGAAGTGTATTTGTAAAAATATTGTTACTAAAGAAAGGGGAGACTTATTTTTTAAATTCATCTAATTATCTAACACCCGTTTTGGGTTTTCCCAACAATAACTTAAAAAAAAAAAGATACACAACTATGCTACTCATAAATACATCAATCGTAGTGATTGCAACTTGAATCCGACTTATCTTGCATGATTCACGATTGGACAAATAATATCCGAATCGCAGTAGCATGGACGAGCATTAATATTACTTCAGACATTGTCCAATCCCGTTCTGTCTCATTTTTGACCCTTCCTATTCAGATCTTGCTGATCAATATCTATTTGTATTTATCCTATTATGTACTTTTTCAATCACATTTTAATCTAATGAAACTTAAAATAAGTGCAAGCGTTGGCCTTTCAATCAATTGGACTTAACTTATCATCAATTATCTCTATTTTGTCTTACATTATGTGTTTTCCCCTTTTTATTATATTTAAAATTTACATTTTTATATTTATTTATTTCATATAATACGTGAGATATGTGATTTCAATTCATATTCATACGAATATAACCGACTTGATTCGCGCTTGGTGCCGAGCGAGTATGAGATTGACATACTGATCACCCAATTATCAATGACATGGATACAAAGAATGTAGTCAGGGAAACTAAGAAAGAATGTTGTTGAACCTTGTAGGGTTATAGGTATAATATCCCCTCTATTATGTACTTTTATTAAACATGCCCCTTTACTATTTTTTACATTAAATATGCCCTGTACTTTGGAAAACTTATCAAACATGTCCTTATATTAAAATTTCCATTAAAAATGGTCAACCACGGTTGAACCGAGATTCACACGACCCGACATCGAAAAAATTGGGGGGGGGGGGTGAAATGTCAGTTTTTCCTCTTCATTTATTTCTCCAGATCTCGTTAAAGTGAAATTATCAAAGGTATTTGGCTATACAAAAGAAACAAAACAATTCTAAAGTGAAATTATTAAGAATATTTTAGACATAGGTGTCGCCCAAACCAAGGTTCGACTTTGTTTGATGGTTTTTAGATGCAAATTTTAACAGAAGGGCATGTTTGATAGTTTTTAGTTTTTACAAAGTATAGGGGCACGTTTGATTTAAAAAATAGTAGAAGACATGTTTGATAAAACTGTATAATAGAGGGACATATTATACCTATAACCTAACCTTGTAAATCAACTAGTATGGTTTTAGTTCACATTTCACAACAAAGTTTGCTTAAGCAAGCTTCTTTTTTAATAAAAAGAGGCATATGTTAGGTCAGCTACTACTATATACATGTGAAAGTGGGAGGAGGTAGAGACAAGAAAAAGGCAAGTTTTCTAGTTTCTAGTTGCAATAATTGGTGGAAGACTCTAGATCCCTTAGAGGAATATTTGTTTGGGACTTTTTTGGGGCTCTAGGAAAATATAGGCACCTAAAAAGGTTTCATAATATATTCCCTTGACAAATGTGAGATAAAAAAAATGACACATTGGAATTATTATATAGTTAATTTCCTATGAGAATTCTGAGCAAAGAAGGGGGAATATTCATTTCCTTTCATTCTTTTCAGCAACAAGCCAAGCTTGGTGAATAATGTCTTCAAACGCCGTTTCCTTCTTGTTGTGAAATGAACTAACCAAAAGCTCCATAAAGTAAGAATAGTATCAACAATAATATTGAGACACCAGTTATTTCTAGCCTAAAGGTTAATGTTAATTCTAAAATCGAGTTAACTATGGTAATTACATAACAATATATATAACTGCAAAATGGATAATGTGGGCATCATCAAATACCAAAGGTACCATTATGATGCATTGATAATCATGAAGCATGGTGTAATCTTGTGTCCTTAGTTATTTTTTTTTCTCTGTCCAAAAGTAATCGTGGGAGAATACTGATCATCACCTGTGAGTTAGAGGTTGGATCAAATTATATGCAACTGATTCTTAATTTTGATTCTTACAAGAGGTGTATAGTTGGCAAAGTTCAACTAATTTTTTACATAATTCAGATATGATGTGGACAACTCCATAACGCATGTATATATGGTGTCTACTTCGGTGCAATCACTTTTTTGGATGCATTGCATTCAATGCACTAAACTCTAAAAGTAGCCACGAGACATCAAATTTTGAATTTTAACTCATAACATTAGTCTAGTATGATGATATAACATAGAATCACAACTAATCAATGCATTATCCTAAGTTCTAAACCTTCAATTTTGAATCTCAGTCGTAAACCCTAACCCTAAATCCCTAAACTCTAAATCATTCAATTTAAAGTAAATCTTGAATGGTTTTTGTACAAATTCATATGCTTTCATGTTCATCATATCACAAGTGATGATTGATATCGTTTTCACATGAATCGTCTGCTCAGAATGGTAATTATGAGATGAGTGCATAGAATACACAAAAAAAAAAAAAGTGAGTGCATGGAAGACATAACCATATATATGAGAGAGGAGGAAACTTATTTATAGTATGACGTAGTATCCTCCTCTTTCCACTCATTCCATATTTCCATTGTTACAAAGAAAGATTGAGATGGATGCTTTCATTGTAGCAAGGACGAGAGAGAGAGAGAGAGAAGAGTAATGTAGCTAGCTAGTACAGTTTTATTTTTCATGCATGGCTATATACATGATGATCATTCATCTCTGGCCCATTTCTTTGTCATATATACCATCATTAAATTCTGGCTGTCTTCGTACCAGCAGTGTACATATCCAATTTCCTAGACTAATAAGGGGGGCACACTTTCAAGTTTCAACTTTGATAGATCATATGCATCATTGTTGGTTCTAACTGGTTATAAATGATTTGTAAATTCTACGTATATAAATTTCTAAACAAAGGTTTGCAAATGATTTGTTACAACTTATTAATTCTTTGTTGGGTTGGATACATCATATGCATCCAGCTGCAGGTGCGGACTTACTTGTTGGCAAGAGCCAAGGGGTGTCGTCCGACACCATTTCGTCCGAAAATTTTGTGAACAACCTAGATTTTATTGGTACAAAAAATTTTAATACGAACTTTTAGAACCTCTTTAATAATTATAGTTGATACTCCTTCATTAGACGACACCCGTTTTCAACAATCATGGGTCCGCTTGTATGCATCATTGACATTTTTGTTAACTCAAATTGGATTGGAGCAAAATTGAGCGAATTAGGTCAAATTTTTGCTATACTGAAGAATGATTGGCTCGAGTGATTTTATAAATGACGATCTTAAATTTTCCTAATCTACTAAAGTGCCTAGATATTTTCTCATTTGGAGGGGCATTTTCTTTGAAGGATACCCAAATAATCTTTGGTAAATCATGGGTGAATGAGGAGAACAAAACATGCCTATATATGTGAAATTCAGAGATTCTCAAACTAACAATATGCTCAATTACTGTTTTCGCAGCTATTTAGAGAATGAATTGACTAAATATAAGAAGATAGACAATATTCTCTAGAGATAGGAGAGAAAACATGCTACCTATTCATAAAAATAAAAATAAATGCTACCTAATTATCTCCTCTCCCTCTATATATTTTTACCAATTGAAAATAAAATAAAATAAAAACAGCCAACCATAATTTACAGGGTGTCATTATTCCTGTGTAATGTATACATATTTTGTCATATTGTGGAAGGCACTGAGAAAGAATCAATATAGAAATTGAGGCATCACTTTGTTATGAGGGAATAAAAAATTGTGGTTCTCCAACTCCTTAAGATAGAAAAATTCGGCCATCCAACCTATACCTTTCCTGTACCTTTCAGTAACTCTTTCTTAGAAGTGGGTGGAGTAATTTTGACCTTATAAATATCCGACAGATGCACATAATTAATAGATAAAAAAAACATCTAATTCATATCACAATATGTGATATGTCTCCTATCTCAAAGATCATGGTTGATAGATGAATGAGAGATTGATTGATTCTTATGAACAATTTCCAATAGCAGTAACATGAACCGTTCACAAAAGTTTTAATTATTTCTTGTCACATGTTTATTACTAAATCCCGTGGACAAGTAAGGTATTGATCCAATATAACGATAAATAATAACCATTAAATTGAAGTTTCAGAATATTTGAACCTGTAATCTACTGTTATTTTGTTCAACGGTATGATTTTTCCTTTCAAATCACAAATTTGTAACTTATGAAGTCTTATCTCCCACAAAAATTCATAACTAAACCCAGAACATAGAGTTTATTTGATTGATATGACTAATTAATTTTGTGTTCTGTTTTTTGTTCCTGCGATTATATTGGTGGCCATAAATTAAGGTAAAAGTATGAAAGTACAGATGATTCCATTCTGTACTACAAATCAAGCCCAAACACCAATTTATTTTGACAAGACATGATTCCACCTTGAGTTCTGAAAATTGAAAAGACATTTTTTTAACCTAGTTAGAAGAGAGAAGAAATTTTACAATTTTTTTCACAACTGAAACACAGAGAGTCCCAGCAAAAAAGAAAAAAACATGATCGAGTCTGAGAATAAGGACTTATGTAATTTTCAATCTCCATTCATTTCCCTTACTTCTAACTTGGGAGAAATTCCTATTGCTGCTTCTTCTTCCACTAATCCTAGCTCCCCAACCCTCCATAATTACCCTTTTTCAAAGATTTGAATCCAATTGACTTTAGTCAACTAGACAGGGTCGAGAAGCAACTCCCGGACCTCGTCAGCTTCACCACAGACTTCGTCGTGGGGCTCCCGGGAGTAGATCTCGGCCCTCGAGGGGACGACCTCGGCGAATCCAAACTCCGCCGCAGGATCTGTCGCATGGCCGAGATCAAATGCAGGGTCGGGTCGATCGGAGTTGGCTCCGGAGACGACGAGAATTTCTTGCAGAAGTTCATGTGCCTGTTCAGAGCTTCTTCCGTGCTTATCAGTCTTTCCTCCGTTCTCACGATCTCGTCTTTCACCGCTTCGGCGCATAAGCCGCATATCCATTTGCCGTGGTACCTCTCCCGTACCCTTTCGATGTACGCCGGCGTGCATTCCTCCGTCAGGCCGCAGCAGTCGCAGCTTGCTGATTCCACTTCGGCGGTGGCGGTGGCCGCCGGCGGCGGAGGAGGTTGAGTTTCGGCTGGTGAAACTACCAATGGGTCGCTTAGCATGGTTGCCGACATTTTTTTTTTGTCTCCTTAATTTCCTGTTGCCAAAGGGAAAATCTAAACATTAGAAAAGCAAACTTGTGCATTAATTGGTACTTAAGAGTATACAAAAATTTATCTTTGTGAACTCAATGATCAATTGCATAACATTGATGATTACACGATTTGCCAACTATACTCTGAATTTATAGTTTTAGCCCGATCACTAAAACAGTCAAAACGTGATCATAATTAACCTAATGAACTTGAATCTTGTGACCAACATTAACTACAGAATAAAAATCACTTACATCATCAAGCTCAATCACGAAAAAGAGACCAATTTGCTCTGTTTCCAAATCTCCTGATATTGCTGTTGAACTATTTTTTTTTTTTTATAGTTTGGATGGGTTTCTTAAAAGAGGAGGAACAATAGAACATGGGGGGTGATTTGGGATTACGCGTAAACATCAGATTAGGAAATCACCAGCTGGAGGATTTTGGAATCCATTGAGAAAGAGAAAGAGACAGCCTCTCCTTTCTTTTTTTTTCTTCTTCTCACAGTCACATGTAATGAAGGAGCATTGGACAAAAAACAGAGCAACAGACAAACACAACAACAACAAAGGAAAAAAGGAGAAACATTTTCGGCAAGAAATTCGAAAGTCGTCTTCCCTGTAAACACAATTATGGAAAGGAAGCAAGAAAGAAAGAAACACGGGAAAAGGATAATTACCTGAGTAGCTAGAAACCTTCTTCTAACTCCGTGATCGGAGATTTCCCGCCGGAGGGTAAAACTCTCTGTTCTGTAGAAAGCAGAAAGCCCTCTGCTCTTGTAGTAGTAGAAAAGGGGGAAAGTAAAACTTCTTTTTAAGCCTTTTGTTTGTTTGTTTGTTTGTTTGTTTATCTCTCTTTTTCCCACTCGCCTTCTTCGCGTTTCTCTTCCGCTGCGAACAGAATCATGAAAAACACCATTTCCAAGCTACCTGCCAAAAAAAGCTCTGCACCAAACTTCCTCCCGTTCGGTTTCCTGGGGGGAAAATTAAAGTTGCGAGCTTTTTCCCCTGCGGAGAGCTCTGTTTGAGAAAGTGAGAATTGGGTTTTGGTGGGTTTTCTGGGCTCTCTCTGTTCTCTTCTCTTCTTCTTCTTTCTCTGGTTGGCGTTGTGAGGGTAACTGGAGAGAGAGAGAGAGAGAGAGAGAGAGAGAGAGAGGAGTGGGGGAGAGAGAGAAGGCCAATGATTGTGGATTTAAAGGCAGGGAATCCACGTCAGCGGTTGAGCGGCGGGGAAATCGTGACCGTTCATCTACGGTTTCTGGATTGACAGCTAAGCAATTATCATTGCTCTATGGTTGGGCTTGGGTTGTGTAGGAAATGAAACTGAAAGAAAAAGAAAGGCTGATAGAGGTTTTATTTTTCCTTTTTCTTAGCCAAATATTGGCTGTAGAGTTGTTTATTTATAATCATTTTGATTCGTTAGAAGTGAATGACACATAATGATAATTAAACCTGATTAGCGTGTGTTTATGTAATGGTAGATGGAGAGTGTTAAGGGCTATAGAGGGAAAGAAATTGTTAATTAGTTAAGTTGTTCTTTTCTCTAATTAGCACTAATTCGGTTGGTTCCGTGTTTTTTTTAAAAAAATTTACTCTTATATTCGTCTGATTTATGGGGTATCTAATCAGTGTTGATAATTCAATTTCATTTAAGATCCAATTACTCTATGCGTTTTCATGTAGTTTTGTTTGGCAAAATCGTAAGAATTAATGCGCGCAATTTTTTCAAATGTTAATTAATTTATTTTGTATAGAAATCAGGTTTGTATCATTTTATAGTCGAGATTAAAAATCAATGATGTTATCGCTAGATCAAACCCACAATATAATTTATCTATTTGATTATGAGTTATTGTAAATAATATTACTGTAGCTAGTTCATTGTCACCTTTGTTAGCTAATTATTTGACCCTTAACAAAAATAATAAATTGTGAAGAGAAATACCACGTGTAAGTGGAACAAACGTGTAAGGTTCAACCTAAACAACACATTTATTTCTTCCTTGCACACAATTAACAAGTTGGCACAAATTGGTTGTTAATATTTTGTTGTGACCATAATCTTATTTCTTCGTTTTGGTTTTCCATTTTATTTTTAAATTCAGGGCTGTAATTTTCCTGAATTTTTATTTTTCATAATAATTAGCTCATGTCTATATATATATATATGTGGTAGCATGTTCGAAGGATCTAAGGCCACAAAATTTTTCTCATTTGGCTGAAAATGATCGTGGATATCAACTCTTTGGCCCTTCAATTCAACACCTATATATGTATGTTTATACCCTACAAATATTAATGCAGAGGAAATCAACATGGAAAAAGCTATACCACCATTGATTCCACAAGATGAAGAGTCATAAACATGGATTAGGAGTTAGGACTTGTGTTTAATGAATCAAATTGACAATCTAAATAATAATTGTGATGAGGTCCAATGAATCAAATTGAAATGTGTAAAGGAAGCAACTCGTCTTGTCTATAGTCCCCACACTTTGCTAACTCCATTATTATATATCTGAAGCATGGGCATATGCTCTTTCATGGATTCCTTTCATAATCCATATATGATTAGGATACCATACTCAAGAGGAAGAAAAACCTAAATCTTCGTACCAATTTTCACCCAAGCAATTGATGTTACTTGGTTACATAATGGTTTGTAAGAGAGGAATGAATCGTTCAACTACTGTCTGACATCCTCTAACGTTCTTTGAGATTCTCCAGTATTTTGTCAAAAATTAATCCACAAGAGGGTTTCTCTTGGAGTGCATTCCTTGGTGGATGATAAATAGTTGATGTTGGTGTAAGAGGCTGTTAATATCGGCTGTTGATATGCAAAGCGAGGGATAACTTGTTTAAGCATTCAACCTTGTTCAAGGCCTCAAGAATCCATGTATAAGCCTATATATACATGCCTACCGGAATTGAAGAACCTTAATTGTTCGTGATCCACTAGAACTTGATGACCTTGTTGTGCCTACAACCTCTAGTTTCAACACTTTTTCCGGTCGATAAATAAGTTGCATTATCGAGAAATCAGAAAATACAGCGTCAAAACAATCGAATCCAACCCGGAAACAACATTGAATGCATGTCAGAAAGTATTGATCCTAATCAAGTGATCATTTTCATGCAATCCCCTGGACTGGAAGGTTTTCTCATGATTCGTGAATAGACACCAGTGACTAGACACAAACAAAAAGAAGGCATATATAGCAATTGTAATGGACCAAATGAATTATGTATGGAGGAAGCATTGCCAAAGCTAGAGAAAGCAAAAGGGTGTGGGGAAAAATCATCCATTGGCATCAATTGTGAAAAAGGACCCAGCCAGCCCACAAAACCCCACACATATATTGTCCTATTCATATCTATCATTTTCCCAATATTTCATTTTACATTTATAAAATATATATTCGTTTCATATGGTGGGAAAACTTATTATGAGATGAAATTTAACCCTTTTGTAATTTTTTTTTTTAAATGTACATGTAACTTTTTGGTGGGTATCACAAAAAATTAGAAAGGTTAACATGTTTGCATGCTTCATATAAAATTTCAGAGTGGAAAGCAGACTTCATTTTCACAAGCCTTCAAATCCTCATATTTCACACTCATGCATGTGAACCATATGCATGCTAACTTGAAGGACAGTTTATTCGAATTTGCTTTGGCTTCCATTTGTTGGCTTTTGTTTGATCTAAGGTAGAAAGGGGTTGCCTACTTTCACAAGGCAGAAAAAAGTGACAGAGCACATTTTGTCTGGTAGCGATTCTTGTCACTTCTTTTTTACGTACTGTAAATTTTGGGAAAAAATCCCAATGTACACACGTTCTTAAAAAAATTCCCAAAATACATGAGTTATAAAATAATTTCCCAAAGTACACATGTTTGAGCATCACCGTTTTAGACAAAAGCGGTGAAGGTCATCACTGCATTTGACAAAGACGGTGAATACATCACCGTTTTTGTTAAAAACGGTGAACTGATTCACCGTTGTTATTTAACGCGGTGAGCTTTTCCCACGTTTCCCACCCCTAGTAGGTCAAAATTAGGTCGCAGCTACCAACTATTCACCGTTTGAGACAAACGCGGTGATGGTGTTCACCGTTTTTGACAAAAACGGTGAATAGTAGGCAGATTTCCCTATAAATAGCACACCACCAGCAGTTGTAAAAACATAACCACTCCCCTTTCTTCAAATTTCAGCAGCCAAAATCGAGCATAATACACAGAACAGAAATTTTTCGGTATGTTGAGACTTTTCGTATTATAGTCTAATTATGTTTTTAGTAGTTATAGTATGATTTAATTTTCGTATTATGTTGTTGTTAGTTAGTTGAATTTATGTTCGTTGGTTATAGTATGATTTAATTTTCGTATTATGTTGTTGTTATTAGTTGAATTTTTTTTTTTTTAGTTATGGTATGATTTAATATTAGTTGTACAATATGATTTTGGTTAATTTTACTGTCTTTAAGCTAATAGATACTTATTGTAAATTGTAGATATGGGTAAATTCAAGAAGTTTCATCTTACTATTCGGTGGAATGGAAGGGTGACAAACTCTGACATAGGCATTGATTACGAGGACGGCGAATCCATTATGCTGAAAATTGATTCCCGATTCAATTTTCAAGAACTCCGTGATATTTGTGCAGAAAGGGTTTGTACGAGCGGACAGACGAGACTTGGCAAAATTACTTACCGGTATCCAGACATGAGTGCTGGCGGGGTCGTGTTCCAAGAAGTTGTCATAAACGATGATGACGCGATTACGATGATGTTACAGTTTCTAAGCGATAACCAAGTCCGGCTTGCAGATGTGTATGTTGAGACCGAGGCGGTCGGTGAATCTCATTCTCACCAGTATTCTTATGATGATGGTTTTGCAGGAGGGTACGAATGGGGTGGTAGTTCGAGCAACTACCAAGGCGGTGGTTATACAGGAGGTTACGGGGAGGGTGGTGGTTCAAT